TCTGTGGACAAAATTTCAGTAAAACGGCTATAAGTTCGTAGGGAAGTCGGGAACTTTTAATATCTCATGGGAGTTTATCTTGTGCACAGAGTTCGAACTCAAAAGTGATTTTCAAGTCTGGAAGGTTCCCTCATAAGATCCTAAGTAAAAAAAAAAGGACGTATTACAGTAATCGCCAAGAGAACTATGTTCTCCACTACATATTTTAAGATTATTGAGCAGATAAAATGTTGTTTTCCGCGATAAGTTTTGATTCTAATAAACATTCGTGTTTCCTAAGCTCACATATGGACGATGTTTTCGAAAGTACGGCTTATCTATTCTTTGCTGATTACTTTTGTAGTTGAAGCAGCATTATTTCCAATGTGAATCATGAATGCTATATAGTTTGTCATCATCAAACCGAAAAGACTATGAATAATTCTAATTATATTAAAGTTTGATCAGTTGAAGTATGATTTTACAACAACACTAGAACTAAGTCTGCTCATTTTAAGTTTTTTTGGTTTTTACTACTTCCTGAAAGAAACTATTCGTTACATTTGACTTGACTAATTTTCTTTGAAAAAGAAAATCAATTAGATTTTTTCATTTTATAGGGAGTAAATCTTGATGAAGATATTCGAGTATGGATTGTTCATACACATGAAATTCATGTTAATCATCATTATCATTCACAATCTCTACTTACATCTGCACTTGTTTATTGTGATGATTATGATAAAAAAGTAATTTAAATAAATCATTGAAAGAAAATTAAAGACACAAAATATTTATTCGATTTTTTTTTGTAAAATAGATAATCGATCTATTTGAATATGATATATCAGATCGTCGTACTTTATCAATATTTGTTGAACAAAAAATATTTCTTAATGGTATTTATCAACTATTAACATTTGATAAAGATGGTAATATACTTTTTATTAGTTTATTTTTTTTTGTTTCATAAACCATCATTGTTTTTTTTCTTTCTTATACTAGATGATCTTCTAATTTTTGTTCGTTTTTATAATTCTCGATATGAATCTCTTTTGTATCATGGTCATTTTCTTTTTTCTCAACAACAATCATTTCGTAAGATAAATTAATTTTTCTTGAAAAGAAAAAACGCTTTTTTTTATTTCAAATCGTTTGATTTTATAGAAAAATGTTTAAATGATATAGCACTTCAAATAAAAGTTTCCATATCACCTTCGACAACATTTATTGTTCATCAAGCTGTACCAACACATAATCAAACACATCAATATGAATTAATAAAAGCTTCTAGTTATGATTTATCATTAAATCAAGTACTTGATCCATGTTTATCTGGTGTATCGATTATAATTCAAATAATTGATATTAATCAAACAAATGATGATTATCCATTAACAACAGTTGAAGATTATTTTCGGTAAATGAGA